TGGTTTGCTTGGTACCTCTGATGAAAGAAATTCATTGATGGAAGATCAGGACAAAGAATATCTGGATTCTTTGAGAAAAGATCAAGAGAAAGAACAAGCAAAAAAAGAAGAGCTTCTTCATTGCCAAGAAGAATTTGCAATTTAAGAAAGTCTGCGTGAAGCAAGAGAAATGAGGGTGCCGGCTGAGCCTGACATAAGTGAACTGCATGTAAAAGTATCGGTGAGACATATAACACTGGGTGTTATAACACGCAAATTTCCAAAGAGTGGCCATATAGGAACTGTGTATGACTGGGTGGGGTCACTCAGTTTGACCCCAAAGTATTTCACCCTTTCTATGGTTGGCAGTATGGACCTCGACCCTGCATTGCCGATGGAAACTGTGGACCAGGCAACCCTGTCGATGCTTGATTGTGATGAAACTCCACCATTTCCTGATGAAACGGTATGTTTCCATGGATTTGGGGCACCATCGGAAATCCCATCTGAAGACAACATGTGGGAGCCTGTTTCAGAGAAGCCACTTCTTGTCTTGCTAGAAGAAGACAAAGCGTAAGTAGTAGTCTTAATGGTTATTATTACATCTTCATAGCTTCCTACTGTCAGGTTGTTTCTAGGTACTTCAAGCACAATCTACTATATGATTGTAGCCTTTTATAGGCTACATTTCAATTCTAAATAGGACTCTGAGGATTTATGGACAAACATTCTAAATTTGGTTTCATTTTGCTTTCTATTTTGAAGTCTCTTGGAATCTCAAAACAAAGTATATTTTCTCCTGAAAGCCACAGACTCATGTTTTAATTTTGATATATTGAAAATAGGCTACTCATTGTGCACCAACATTCCTTATTATTCAGATATTGTGGACCCAAAATTACCATATGTGCTTGTTTTCTAACAAGTAAAACATTTGAAGTGGGTTGAAAGCTAATAGGTTTTTCTGACTTGTTGTGAATATTAGGAAGGACACTCCATCAGGAAGTTCTGAGGATAATCCAGTGGCAGTTGAACGCAGTTCTGTTGATTGACCTGGACGACGATCTAGGGAAGTTGTAAACAATCTTCACATAGCTGACAATATGAAGTAAGAAGAAAGGAATGAAGACGGGGTAGGTTATGTTTATCTCGTATATGTGTCAGTCCAATTACTGTCCACTCATTCTTTGATACTGCAAAAGCCACGGGATTATATAACAGATGGGATGTACTACAATCCTAGAAAAATGTTTTAAGGAAATTTCCCTAGAGGCAACGAGTATGTGTATCCTCTCCTCCCATTCTTTAATCTTAGTACTCCTCTCAAACACTCAGCATTACTTATGGGAGGAAGTAAGATGCACCTTTTGTGCTAGTTTTGTGACCTGAAAACAATTATTGACAGTAATTATTGTATAGTACCAAATATACCAGTTGATGGCCACTGTCTTCTCGAGAGCCCTTGAAAGAAAGAGAATGTAATGGGTAACAGCAGGTAGTAGCAAGTTATGTCTCTTTATGTTTATTTAGGACTTGAAGCAAAGAAAAATGGATGTGCTTGATAAGTTGTCTGGTGTAACAAACGTCTGGGTTCATCGAAAGACTGTCATGCGTGACCTTCTTAAAACGTACGAAAACTCAAGAGAAATAACTCAGCAGCTTGTCACATTTTCTTTCCATGGAGAGGTTGGGATGGATCTAGATGGTCTAAAGAGAGAAGCTTATTCTCTATTCTGGAAGCAAGTCCTGGAGGACTACTTCGATGGAAGTTCTACATTTGTTCCGCGAGTAAGTCCAGAGATTGAAGAGTCCACGATGAGGACACTTGGACGTATTATCAGCCACCAATATGTCCTCACTGGCATATTCCCTGTTCATATCAACAGGGCATTTATGGTGGCTATGCTCTGTGGACGACAGGCAGTAAGTGACGAAGACCTCATAGGGGATTTCCTGGAATACATATCAGAAAATGAATCCCAGGAGTTGAAAGCGATCCCAGCACAGTCAGACCAAGGAGAGCTCTCTGGTGAATCTTGTGAGTTTTTGCTGGATTTTTTCAGCGACTACCAGGTAACCAAAAGGCCATCGGCTTCCAACCTCAAATCCACTTTGGTGCAAGTAGCCAAGAATGAGTTGTTATCAAAACCTGCTATGGCTATGGATGGTATGAGAGAAGGTCTTCTGGATGGAGACTTTGAAAATTTGTGGAATTGTTCGAAAGAGGATGTACCAAAGATGTATCAAAGGATACAGCTTACGCCACAACGAGTTATTGCAATGCTTGCNATGAAAATAATCCGTTCTTTGTGTCAAATGTTTCACGTCCTTTCCACATTTAGAAAACATATTGGAAACGAAGAAGAAATAAAGTTCATTTTAATTAGTATTTTCAATTGTTTTACTTGCGCGGCTCGGTATCCAGCTACGGAAAAAGATAGCGGCATTAGATCTGACCAACAATAAATACCGTGCGATGTACATTTGACCACACTGAATATTTTGCGAACCTAACACAGCCCAAAGGCCGCATAGAAAGTTTTGTTTTTGCGTGTCCCAAAAAACACTGTTCATGATGGGTAGCCTGTGAACAGGAGTGAAATTCAACCATTCTTTTATGGTATGGCATTAAATATGTTCCAGTAAATCAAAGTAGAGTTGGAGAGCTTCCTCTGCTGTTGTAGCTGGTTCTAGACCTTCATCCTCCATGATTAGATCGCAGAGCTCTTTAAAGTAAGGACATCCTTTCGCTTGTGGTTGCTCGGCACATGTATCCTGTGCGATTTCGATTTCGTCAATGTCAACGGGAGTCATATAATCTTGACTCTCAGCTGTTGCCGGAATGAAGTAGAGTACATCTGGCTTTCCCAACGGAGATTCCACATTGCTAGACGGCCGAATTCGGTGAACATTCCACACTAGTGCAGCTCTGTTTAGTTCACTTTGTATGACATCCATGAAACAGAACTTCAGGCATTCGCGGTGTATTATATCATCATCGTGATATAAACCAGAATTTCTCAAGTCCTTAAAAAATGTAATCCTCCATTCTGCACATCCTTGCCTTAAACGTCCCCACCATGCTTCAATTCTTTGGTTTGCTGTAGATTTCCCATACATGAAACTTTTATCACCCGCAAAGTCGTCATCATGTATGGTGCCTTCAAAGTGCAAGGGTTATCTCAGCGCAAGTATGTCGCCCCCACAAACCGAACAAAGAGCTTGCAAATGTCCATCTGTTGCCATCCTCACAGCTGTAAAGTCCATCTGTAGTAAGGAACAATGATTTTATCTTAGAGAATAGTACAAATAAGTCAAGTAAAATAAGCTACTTGAGGTGTAATACGAATACGTAAACTGTGAAAAAAAAAATACATAAAATACTTGCGGGTCCTATGGGTATATTTCCCAAGATAAGAAACACAAAAAGGAAAAAATGGCAACAGAGACTATAGAGTAATACATGGATGTACACAGATATGGAAGTGCTCAACTCAATATATCATGTACAGCAAACAAATAAGATCTTGAGTTTATATGGAATTTCTCTGCAAGTGTTCAACTCAATATATCAAGCAGTAAATAAGTAAGATCTTGAGTTAAATACAAAAATAGAAATTCCATATGTCTAAAAGCAACATTTGCCGTATATCATGTTCAACATGTACGTGTACATGCCATGTATCAGGCCCAACATTTGCCCTACATCAAGTTCATCTACTTTGGAATGTTACATAAATTAGTGGGTAAAGGACTACATGCTTGTCCAATTTGGAAGTGTTTAAATTAAAAAAAAAAAACTTTTTTTCTCATCCAATTATTTCCAAATCAATTACTTTGGTTTCTAGGAATGATAAATAGCTACCAATATAAAAATTATTTTGTATGCAATGAAATTAACTTCACTAAACTCGTTTGGGAGTAAAATTTCTTTCAAATTATTAACTCAAAACTGAGGTTAGTCTGGCTATTTTTAATACTTCCAAAAAGAGTTTAATTGGCGGCCATTTATGAAAAGGGTCAAAACTAATCCCAGTGAAGCACAAATAACCGTCCCATCTTGAAGTTAAATGATTAAAGGTTTCTCGAAAGTAAACCAGACGTAACAAGAAGGTAAGGAAAGTGTAAAAAGACAATCTGAGGTATCAAATTTAAGTGCGCCACAATCTCGAGTCTAGTACAGGAAACAGTTCTCAACGAATTCTTACCCTTTCGTCTTTAAACTGTTGGCAAAAGCCATCTTTAATCCCACGTTCTTCTTTTAAAAAATTGAAAACCTAAAGAGAATGCAGCCAAATATAAGTTTTTGTACCTTCAGCATTTCTAATTTGAACGAATGACAGGAGAAAGTGTCAAAATACCTGGTTCGGACCTCCGAAACAAGCTGCTCTCTTAGAGAATCTATGTTTGCCGTATATCATGTTCAACATGTACATGCCATATATCAGGCCCAACATTTGCCCTACATCAAGTTCATCTACTTTGGAATGTTTCATAAATTAGTGGGCAAAGGACTACATGCTTGTCCAATTTGGAAGCAATTAAATTTAAAAAAAAAAAACTTTTTTCTCTCATCCAATTATTTCCAAATCAATTACTTTGGATTCTAGGAATGATAAATAGCTACCAATATAAAAATTAGTTTGTATGCAATGAAATTAACCTCACTAAACTCGTTAGGGAGTAAAATTTCTTTCAAATTATTACCTCAAAACCGAGGTTAGTCTGGCTATAGTTTTAATACTCACAAAAAAAATTTAATTGGCAGCCATTTATGAAAAGGGTCAAAACTATTCCCAGTGAAGCACAAATAACCGTCCCATCTTGAAGTTAAATGATTAAAGGTTTCTCGAAAGTAAACCAGACGTAACAAGAAGGTAAGGAAAGTGTAAAAAGACAATCTGAGGTATCAAATTTAAGTGCGCCACAATCTCGAGTCTAGTACAGGAAACAGTTCTCAACGAATTCTTACCCTTTCGTCTTTAAACTGTTGGCAAAAGCCATCTTTAATCCCACGTTCTTCTTTTAAAAAATTGAAAACCTAAAGAGAATGCAGCCAAATATAAGTTTTTGTACCTTCAGCATTTCTAATTTGAACGAATGACAGGAGAAAGTGTCAAAATACCTGGTTCGGACCTCCGAAACAAGCTGCTCTCTTAGAGAATCTATGTTGTTTATCGGCAATGCAACCCAGCCTGCGTGCCACTCGGCCCAGCTAGGTAGCCAGGCAGGTAAGTCGCAAGAAAGTAGCAAGAAAGTCGCAGCTAAGTCGCAAGAAAGTAGCAAGAAAGTCGCAGCTAAGTCGCAAGAAAGTAGCAGCTAAGTCGCAAGAGAAAAAAAAGAGAGAGGAAAGTGTATGTCCCTTTGAAGCCACCGTATTAATCAGCAATTGAAACATCTAGAATTGTCTCTTTCCTTTAAATTATGTTGTTCCTTGGTCTTTTAATTTATTTTTATTATTTATTTTTTGATCTAGTCAAGCGCGCGCTATTTACATTTTTCGCGTTTTTAACATTCAAATGTAACGTAAGCCCTGACACATAGTTTGTAACGTACCTTAATATATATTAAAATGTACAACAGTTAAATGCTCGTTTGCAACTGAAGATGACATGAGAATGTCGAAACATGTCTTGTAAATTTAAACTCAAAGTTGTTGTTTCTTTTTTGAGAGAATGAATGTAACTCTTTTAATTACAGAAATTCTCAGATGAAATGGAGTAGAGAGCATGATGTAATGCTAGGAAGGGAAATCATGTTGTTCGAATTATGGAAATATAAGGCAGGGAGCCGTGAAAGGGGCCAGTGCCTAGATAGAATTGCTGAGAGTCTTAGTCATTTAAAAAAAGCCATCCTTCGGTGTGTCTCAAAAGTCTGTGAGAGACAGGGTGAAGATATTAGAGCGAGATTTTAAAAGGAAGGAAAGATCTGACAAAAATGCTTCTGGGATTTCTCCAGAAAAGACAGAACTTGATCAAATAATGGAAGACTACTTAGAACAGAAGGAAGATCAGGCGAGGGAGTCAGAGAAGGCCGCAGAAGAATCTCGGGATAACGCAGCAAAACACAAGGCTACAGCAGAAGACATGAGAAACAGGGCAATGGAACCTCTATCAGAAGCAAAGAAAAGAGCTAGGTCTGATCTGCCTAAAAAGTAAAGGAAACACAATGAAAATCACACTCGAATACTTGAGAGAGGCATCGGATAGAGAATGTGAATTAAAAAAAAAAGAACTTGAACTTAAAATGAAGCAGGAGAAAAGTGTAGTGGCCCAAAAAACCCTTATGCTTCAGCAAATGAAGAGTCAGCAAGAGCAATTTCAAACAATGCTTCAGATGTTCATGCAACAACAGCAAACAAACCCTGGCCCTCCTTGAACTTCTGAAAAAGAAAAATTGATGTAACGTTGGACTAATTTGTTTAGATTTTATGGGTGTAGTTGTGTTTATGGTTGCATTTTTGGTCCTTGCAAGTGTGCACGTAAGGGATATGCAGGGTCACCATATAGACACATGGGTGTTCCAGTTATACGGGAATTAGAGAATCTTTGCAGCTCTTATTAAAGACTTGATGAAGCTTGCATACTGCTATCGTGGCGCCTCCCTTCTACAGGGCTATACAAATGACCAAACAGTCCATTAGGCAATGCCACAGATTAAAATTTCATGGAATGCACCCGCTTGAGTCCATTATAGAGAACTCTTCGATCGACACCTGGCCTACACACTGGCCGAACAGTTCCATCTATAAAAACCCCAACAACTGTACAAAGCTGCGCCTGACTGATGTACGGCATCAGCATCATATAACATAAGGCTTGCTGGAGAAAGCAGGTTGATTGTAGGTAGTCAGAAAGTGATTCCATCGATTGTAAATCCAGTCTGTCATGTGACTTGTTATGATGCAGATCTCTCGGACTGGTCTGGCAAAGTGAAAACCATATCACTACATCGGCAAGGATCTGAAAATCTTTTTAGGTAGATACACAAAGCAGGAATAGATTCGACAATCAAACCGTTGTACGTCACGAACTCATCTGGTAACTGAAGTGCATCCGCAAGTTTGTATATGTCACTTTTATAGAAGCGAAATTCGGCTTTGCATTCAGCATTTGTCAACTCGCCAAGTTGAGATCTTTCATAGTTCCAATATGGAAAGTCTGGGTTTTTTTGACCTGTTCGCATCATACAACAAAACAAACTCTCTGTCGTTGATAAATCCTCTTCTGTATACATACGCAATGCAGTTTCTCGTCTCTCTTAAGTTTGGCATTTCTCTAATAGTTTTTCTAGGGGAGATATCTTCACAATAAGCGTTTCCTGTAAAAAAAAAAAAAGGGCACAAACACGGTACGATGAGATTACTTCGCACCAGTCGTCGTCCTTGTATCGTAATCAACTTTTGGCGCCAAATTGTGCGCGACGCCGACCGAGGACATGACGTCACTAAAAGTCGTCGTCGCGAAAGAAGTCGTCGATTCGTAAGCTCCGTAATGTTCGCGGAGGACTTGGAATTACTTAAAGTAATCCAAAATGTCAACAGTGATTTTACAGCCATTCAAGGAGATCTTGATGGTCTAACCAACTGGCCCTTACTAACGAAATTTATTTCCAGCTACCAAAATGCCTAAATCTAAGAATATAAAGAAAACGGATATCGATAAGCCCAGAAAGATCGTACTCTATATTGGGAACTGAATTTAATGTTGTCAAATCTGCTACGGATCTGGGGGTTATTGTAAGTAATGACCTGAAATGGACAGACCATATATCTTCAGTTGATGAAAAAGCCAATCGCATGAGGGGTTTTATCAAACGTGACTGTACAAGAGACCTCTGAAGAGACCTTGAGAAGACCCTATATCTATCACTGGTAAGATCACATCTCTGCTACACATCTCAACTGTGGGCTCCCCGATCTCCCACATAAATGGTCAAGATCGAAAACATCCAGCACAGAGCCACACGATTCATATGCAAAGATCATGGCCTCTCTTACAAGGAACGTCTATTAGAACTAAACTTATTTCCCTAACCTACTGGCTGGAATATCTAGACATTGTCTTTTTCTTTAAATGCAAATTAGGTTTAATTGATCTGAAAAGAAACGACCTCATTGGGTTTTGTAGTGGGCGCCTACGTCGTGGCGCCTCTGGTCTTCTTCTCAAAAATGAGAAAGCTAAAACCTCATCCTGTAGAGATTCCTTTTTTGTAAGAATCTGTAACATTTCGTCATAACATACAAATTTACTCAAAACAAAGATCAAGCAGGTAAAACGTACGTTCTATCAAATGGCACTTTCGTCGAAAAAGCCAACGGAGCTTTAGCGCACGATACATCGTATTCTTAATCCTAGCCCTAAGCCTATTGCTGTTGATCCTGATGAGTTGAACGTCCACTTTACTTACAACACGCAAAGGATATTGGGAACCAATCCATCTTCATCAGAATGTCTGAAAAACTAAATCACCTTTGTCGGATTATGTTAACGACTTCTTCTCAGTACGTCCAGTCTCCTTTAAGGAAGTAGATCGACAGATCAAAAGTTTAAGAACCGACTGTGCCACAGGTCCTGACATTATTCCAACNTAAAAAAATTTTTGCGCAGAAGTACTAAAAAAAATAAGCTTACTTCGTTGAGCGAAAAAAAATTTTTGGGTGTAGGTGCACTTTAAGCAATAGCGAAAATCAGACCTGAAAAAAATCAGGCCTGTACGGGACTCGAACCACTGACCTCTGCGATACTAGTGCAGCGCTCTACCACTGGTATCTAATACCGCAGTTCAAAATATATGAACTTCATGTATTTATTCTATCTCATTTATCACTTTCACGGGTTTATTACGAACCAACTTAACGGCCTTCTCCCAATTGGCTTGTTAGTTCAATTGGTAGAGCGCTGCACTAGTATCGCAGAGGTCAGTGGTTCGAGTAACGTAAAGGCCTGATTTTTTTCAGGTCTGATTTTCGCTATTGCACAAATAGCGCTATCTACTGCGAGGATCGTGCATCATACGTAAAATTTGATTCGTAACAATTTTAAGAGCGAATGTTTAAATTTGACCGACTGAAAATCCAAAAATGTGGCACGTGATCGAAAAATTGAAAATTTTGCCTAGAGATACCTTATAGTGAACTTAGAAACGTGGTAAGGTCTTTATTTTCCCAGACTTGCTTCTTTATCCTAGAACATTCAGGAAAACCGAAACCCCGGAGAGTCAGTAGCTGTAAAAGAAAAACATCGCTTCCCTCTCAGGAATTTTAACTTTTGAGGATTGGTTCCAGCCCTCATGGGCCAAGGTCATGTTCAAATGCCCTGCCTAGGTCCTAAATCTCAGTGGTTCTCAATGGGGTTAACTGTTAGCCGTAAAACAGTTAAAATTAGCTATTAAGCGTAAAAACTGACA